GTTTTTTGTTGTTGTGGTACTAGGGTCCTCTGCCGCTGAGTCACAACCCCAGCTCTTTTTTATTTTTAATTTTGAGACAGGATCTCACTATGTTGCTGAGGCTGGCTTCTAACTTGGGATCTTCCTGCCTTAGCCTCCCAAGACACTGGAGCCAAAAATGTGCAAACACTACGCCTAGAGGAAAAATTCTTTTTATTTCTATTTCTCCATGGCCAGAGGACTTTATCTGGAGCCTCCCCCAGCATAGAACAAGATTAGAACAAATATTCCCTCATTGTGCTCCCGAATGGCATCTACTTCAACCATAGCAGAAGCTCTTAGAGGCTTCCTGGGACTCCACATGAGTTGAGCAAGTGCCAGGTACCCTTTGTTCAGGGCCAACCTGCACCCTCTTGCACTGTAGGGGACCAGAGCAAGCTTAGCCAGGCTACTCAGGGATGCTTCCCAGAAGGATATCCTGGGTGTCTGGGGTTCCAAGAGAGCAAACCTAGGGATTGCACCACCAGAGGGCACTTTTGCTTTGCAGAAGAGTTGTGGGACTAGGCCTGGGGTTTTCCCCTGGTGGAGGGAAAGTGAATATGAATGCAAAAGAAGAGCATGGATTCTCGCATCAGTACCAGATGAGGTGGCAGGGGTGGGAGGGATGATGCTAAAGGCATTCCAGGCAGGATTGTAGTCACTGACCTGCCACCGATACTCAGGGATGATGCTTTGCATTTGGATTTCTTACTCTTCTCACACACAGGCTCTTTATTCAGCCAAGCCCTGTTGAAAAACAAGACAAAAGTGGGGAGAGTCAGAAGAACAGGTGCATGCATTATTGATTTCATCAAAGCACAAATGAGACAGCCTGAAGGAACAGGATGGGTCGGTCAAGGCTATTAGGTTTGGTTATCAAGGCCAAGGGCAGGAGAAAACCATGACAGGAGGTTGAGGCCTTTGGTCCTAGACAACTTGTCTCTTGAGTTTGGACAAAGCCCATGAGCATGGTTAAGGGTTTCTGTGTAGGTGAAGTGAGTGTAGGCCAAGGCTGAATCCCAAAACTGGACAGGCTGTGGCCCAGGTGTCCCCTCAATGCTGAGAAGTAGGAACTAAGATGAGAAAGATCCCCTAACACTGCCTAAGGGGCAGAAGTTTATGGATCAGTATCACCTTGACTCTCTGGATAAGAGTTCTCCCTCTTGGTTAGGGAGACCAGTATGTAGCTTCAGGCCCTCAGGAACATGACAGAGATATAGCTTAAGCATCTGGGAAAGGGTGACAGTCTTGCAAATATTGGCACTAACCTATGTCCCAACTCTCCTTTCTACAAGAGGATCTATCCTGAGGCACCTATGAAAATCTGAATATTTGGGGAAAGAGACTGAGACCAGGCTGGGTGCCAATATAGGATAATTTTAGAACATTCACCTCTCTATGTCCTCCCCCAGAACCCACAGGAAGGCTCCATACACAACCTGCCCTCAGTGAGCCTGGCCCATGGTAATGGGCCCTGCCAGCACCATACCCAAGGTCTCCCCATGGAACATCCCCCTCCATCCACAGCCACCTCCCCACCCCTCTGCAGGGACAGGGCACTACAGTGAGTGCATTGCTGCCCAATTCTTCCCATAGAGCCACATTGTGCCCCTCAACTCTGGACTCTGCAGCTCCTCCACTTCTGAGCCTGCTCCATTTCTCCCCAGAGTCTGGAATGTGTCCACCAGTGACCCCTGTGAGGACATGGTGAAGTCTTTGTTCCTTTCTCATTTTGCATTGGCTGCTCTTCAGTGACTTTGAACTCTGCCTGAGCTGGCCTGTTGGGACAAGATGATGTACATGTTACTGGCGCTGCAGTCAATTCAGGACATCTCCATAGGTATTGTGAGACCCAGAGAGCTGCCCAGCAGAGGAACAAAGACTGGCCCACAGACTTATAAACAATGTGTGTGCACATTATTGTTTGGCTTTTTATAATACAAAATTACTATGGTGCTAGACACCTGAATCACTGTCACCTAGAAGCACTGAGTGGAATAGAAGCCCCCATATCCACACCTCGCCATCAAACATGCTGGACTCAGATGTGTACCGGTAATGAGTTTTCATCATTTGTGCCACCAAAATGCCAGGGTTTGCTTGTGCTACAGGATTGTCAATCAGATCCTGACTGATACACAAGACAATAGCTCATGGGCCTTCTTCCTGAACAGATGGGAAGAAGTATGTTAAATGAATTGTAGAAATATCCAGTAGTTTAAATATCTTATCAAACAAGTACTTTCCTGTCTTCTGGAAGCCCATGCACAGGTAGAGGGTCAGAGCAGCCTGCTGTACCATGCTAGTATCAAGGACAACCTCACTATAGCCCTAAGCCCTCTTATCATATTTTAGATGAAACTTAATAAATGGAATTATTTTAAAATTTATGGACTGATGATGTAGCTCAGGCTGTAAAGCACTTGCCTATCATGTGCTAGGTCTGGTTCATCCCAAGCACTGCAAAATAAAAATAAAATAGTATAAAAGTTTTTGACATTTCTCAACATTTACAATCTTGCACCACCACCATTTTATCAAGTCCCCAAACATTCAGCAGCCATCCAGCAACCATCCCCCTCCCCAGTTCTAGTGACACCCCAAGCTGTCTGCATGACATGCTTTGGATTTGCATATTTTTCTCAGATCTCATGGCAGAATATCTTGCTTATCTTTTAGAGTGCCATAGTCTGAAGTTCCACTTTGTCTCCTGTTCCAACTTTGCCCACTCCTTGACCCAATAATGTTCCCTGGCTGGGAGAGTGGTAACCAGGCCTGGGAGCCTAAGCAGGCACAGGACACTTCTGCCCTCTGCCTCCTGGGAACCTGGTCATCATGTTTAGGCAGAAGGAAACTGTCCAAGATGAATATTCACAAACTAATGTGAGTCTTCCAGACAAAATAGGCTTTGTATTCACTCTTGTTTGTACAGCATCCAGGCAGCTTGGCAGCTGGTATAGGGACCCTATTGTGAGAAGGCATAGACCAGAATGAAAGCAGGATGAAAGGCTTCCTCCCTGCTCAGAATTATCTTTCCTACCCAATCAACACTGTCCATCTCTTGAAAACATGATTGCTGAACAAAGGTATGTGTTGGAGAGAGTGGAAGAGAATGTTCCAAGCCAAGGGAACAACATGTTCAAAGACCTCCAAAAGAACGAAGACTTACTTTTGGAACTAACTAGAGCAGCTGACTGTGTGTGAGGAGTGAGTTGAGGCTCTGGGACAGGGGAACACCAAGCTACTGTCATGACTCTGAGTTTCCTTGCCCCTGAGGGAGCCCTTCAGTAGTGATGGGGTTGTAGCCTTTTGACAACCTTCTCTAGTGCCCAGGACTCCCATTACTTACTATCAGAGTGTTTCCATCCTGGGCCCATCCTTCCCCTCTCTTCCCCTCAGAGCTCTGAGCTCCAAAATGGCCTGATACCGTGCACATCTTGGTGAGTAAAGCCATTTCCCTGTGATTGATTGAAACTTTCAAAGCATTGGGACCATCCTGCCTCTTGCCCACTGGGAACTGCTCCAGGAAGCACTGGCCTTGCTGGGAGAGGGGAGCTGGTGGCAGCAGAGCAGGAGAACTGCATGTTCTCCTCCCCACCTCACAGGGGCTGTCCTGTGGGCCCCACCATTAAATGGTGGAAACATAAGCTGGAAACATAACCACAGATCAGGAGTCAATAAATGCCTGAGGCAAACAGTAGGGACTGTGAATAAGAAGGGAAACCCCTGTGTTCCTTATTGAGGTTTAAGAGAATCACAACAGATATAGGCCTGAAGGTGGGGAAAGACAGGGTACTGTGGTGGCCATCGAGGTCAGCAATATATAGAATGGTATGGGGGGATTAGGGTGCAGAGTCGGTGCCTGTGGTCCCAGGCAATTTGTCAGTCATGTTTGGAAACATCCCATGATCATGCTAGCGCATTTCAAAGTTGAAATGGCTCTTTAACAAGTCCAGTTGGAAGGATTGAGCAGGGTATAGCCACCTGACCTCTCAGTGGATGCAAGCTATGAGTAGGAGACACTGCCAAGGTGAACCTGACTGAGGGAAGCCTGGAATCCCTGGAACAGCAGGAGCTCAGCCTCTAGGTTGAGGGAAACCAGTGAGAGTTCCAGTCTCACATGGAAATGAAGTACCTGGGAGGGACAGCCCTGCTAACATCAACCCTGATCCACCACCCAACTCACCCTTGTGTCAGAAGCTTCTAGGATGACATAATCAGGCCTGAGGCATCTATGGAATTCTAAACTCCCTGAGCATTTGAGAGAGAGGCTGGTCCTGATTCCTAAGGATAGCAGATTTGGTGTACTTGCCAGTCCCATGGCACCTCCTGGACAAACAGGAAAGGTCATGCCTGACCTATCTCCTCTAGGTTGTGTAGACCCATGTGACTGGGTTTAGCTAGAGCCTTGAGGGTTGTATAATATCCATGTCTTCCCATGAAAACATGCCTCCCTCCATCCTCACCCAACTTCTTACCATGATCCAGGGACCGAGAAGGAGAGAAGGTAGAGCAAGTCACTGTCCCAATTCTTCCCACAGGCTACATCCTGCCCCTATGCTCTGTAGCTCTGCAGTTCCTCTACTACAGAGCCAACTTCTCCCTCTCAGCCTGGATGTTTCCACAGGTAACACTCTCAGGCACTCAGAAAAGCTATTGCTCCTTTCTGTTATTGCCTTTCTGTTCTACAATGACTTTGAAACCTGGCTAAGCTCAAATGGATGAAGCCCAGTGTCCCTGGCATTTCATTCAACCAAGGACATTAGAAAAGGCAACCAGAGATCCAGAACACTGCCCAGCCAAGCTCAGCAGAACCTGCTTGGTTCATAGGAACTAAAGTGAAAGGTGTGCATCATTGTTTTTTCATTGGTTCTATGCAACATTATTATGTGACTGGATAAATGAAGAGGGGACAATCCAAAGTGACTACAGCAGAGATGCCAGTGCCCACATCCTACCATCCTACCTGATGAACACAGACATGCAAGAACAATGAGCTTTTATTGTTTATACCACTTAAATATCAGGGGTTGGTTGTTACTAGAGAAGACAGGTCCAGATTCTTACTGATACACAGGGAAATAGATCACAGTCCCTCTTCCTGAGCAGAAGGAAGGTGGTACGTTAAATCAACTTTAGGAACATCCAGTATCCTCCAAATCATGCTGTAGTAAATCTGGCTTTTCTTCTGGAAGCCTATAGCCTGGTAGAGTGCCAGGGCACTGTAATGCATTGTGGTAGTCTCAATGAAAACTTCATTGTAGCCCTGAACCCGGGCAAACTGGATGAGAGTCCTGACAAGGGCTTTTGCGATCCCCTTACCACGGTGCTCCTTGGCCACTGAGAGGTGTAGCAGCTGCAATTGTTTCTTCCCTAAGGGAGGGTCTGCTACTGGGAGAGCACTCACTGTGCCCACCACCTGTCCCTCAGACTCAGCCACCCAGTAGCAGGAGCCACACTCACTCATGTAGTTCTTGGTGATGTCAGCCAGGTCTGTGCGCAAACATAGAGCTTCATGAACCTTCCAGGGAAAAGCAGCAAGCAGCCTCAGGAAAACAAGTAGGGTAAAGCTGGACATTATGGTCAGGAGCCAGGAGCTAGTGACTAGCAGTACAGTGAGGGGCACTCCAAGTAAGAACAAGAGCATTCGGGGCAGCATCAGCATGTGGCGGAATGTGGCAGGGATGTGCTCAGTCAACCCACTGGAGAACAATGCCAGAACACTGTCGTTGTCACTCTCCTGGTATTTGCGGATGTGATAAGAAGCCATGGGGGAGACTTCTGTGTCTGCAATCTCAAGGTCCAGGAGAGGCAGCTAGACCTGCCTGCACACCTTCCTGGAAACTCTGGAAAAGAGATAGGAAGCCACGTGAGTGTCCCCAGGCCACCAGGCCTCCCAAGGACTGTGGAGAAACTGCCAAAGGGTGTGCCTCATAATACCTAATTGGAACTTGTGTTCATCCTCTCTAGCTGTGGGACATTGGATATGTCGCTAAAGCCTGTGTGTCTTCATCAGCAGAATGGGGAAAATAATACCTGCTTTCTAGAGTTATTCTGAGGATTCAGTAGAATATCTTAAATAAAGCTGCCATGTATCCAGTCCCTTCCCCTCCACCCTCAATGCCCCATTATGGGCTCTCTGAACTCTTGGTACATTAGGCTGGCTCCCTGTGGCAGTCAAACCTCATTTTCCCAGTCCTTTGGACATTTTCCTGGATCTATGTTAGAGGAATCCTCTGTTGCCGAGTACAAGTTTCAGCAAAGCAAAGCCTCGTGCCTGATGGTAAAGGTTTAGGCTGCTGAGAAGGCAAAGGATCAAGCACCAAAAACAGCATGACCTTTAGATCCCCACCACAGTCCTTACCTTAGACCTGTTCGGAAAGCCCTGTCATTGTACCTGCATCCTCTCACCTGCTACCACAGAGACACAAGGTTCCAGAGTAGCCTCAGTCCAGACTGTGACCGGCACCCAGGAGAGACTGTCTACTACCCTCCCTACTTCTGGGAAGAGATCTGGTTGTCCACATTATTGGTTGGCTTCTGGACACTTGTTAATCATAAACCTCAAGGTCACAACTGTTTCATGTTGGAGACGAGTCCAAGTCCACTCACTGTTTTAAACACCAGATTTACAGGGAAGCAGGATCTGGAACAGCTGAGTGTTCTGCCTCTTGTGGGAGAACTGCCTTCTATTTTCTATTTCCTTAAAGCCATACTAACTCTCATCCAGCCCACTTGACCCTCTCTGAGGCCAACTCTGATCCACTGCACATACAGGCTAGCAACCTGGGCACTGCGCCTCTCACCCTGGGATCTCTCACCCTGGGCAAGTATTCAGGTTCCCTGACTCAGCAACAATGTACTTCACAGTTCTGCTTCTTCCTGCCCAAACTTTCCTGGTCCAGGTAAAATCCATCTTTGGCTGCCCTTTGAGCCCAAGGAATCAACACTTCAATGCAGATGCAGGAACACTGTGAGCCCAGGTCCTGATGGTTCATGTCACTGAAAACTGCCTATAAACATAGACAGGAAACTGGGTGCCCTGCAGGATACAGTGGTTGAGGATGAGTCGTCAACACTGTGCATAAGTGAAGTGGCCTGTGAAGAAGAGAAATCCCAATATTCTGTATCCATGCATATTCTGGGCTCCACTCTGCACTGTCTCTAGTTGTGCTTATTATGGGATACACAGGAGCAAGAAGTGGATGGTGGAGATGAGGGGTGTTCGGGAAAGAATTAGGGGGAAACCAGAGAGCATGTTATAAGTTTATCATCTCTGAACATTGAGTGGGTTTTCCACTGTTTTCTCATTGGTTTCCTGAAGCAAATATATTTTCCAAGTTAAAGAGTCAAATTGGACCTTGATCTCCATGAAGTTGCACTGACTCCATGGAGGCCACAGATTACTAACAGACCTGGAGCTGGTTGCCACTGTCACCCCTGTGTAGCACAGTACCACACATTTGGTCGATGAGCATTGACTTCACTTTCTCAGGCTACTTTCTTGTTCTCGACACATACCATCCTCTGTAGAGCTTAAACTATGACAGCAGCATCGTCAGTAAGATGTGTCCTTGTATCATTGGTATAGAATGTAGAGAGCATTCCATTTTCCATTGGTGGCATTTTTAATTGCCCAGACCAGAGACATTAAACACATTCATATGCTGTGCAATGAGAACAGATTGCAGTGTTTGTCCTTCTTTCCTCCTTTTAGTCCAATCCAGGGCCTCAGTGCTCCTGGGTGGGAGGTTATAGCCAATAACCAAGGGAACCCCCAGAATGAATTATATGGGAGGGAGTTTCCCTGCCAACTCCACAACTGGCACAAACACCATGTCTGTTCAGACCTGGATGACCTTGCTTCCTACTTCTGTTTGGAGTTGAAGGAGAAATGGAGATGAAGACAGGCAGAGTTTTGGGGTTGAGGTGGGGCAGCCATGATCAGTGTGGGCATTCCCAAGTGCAGTAGGGGTTTGCAAAGGTCCTGCACTTGAGTGGAGGGCAGCCTCAGAGATCAATACAGGGACAGATTTTCCTGAGCCCTCAGCTTTATGGTTGTGCTTTAAGGAAGCTGTGGGCCATCTCACTTCAAGGCAGAATTTCTTCTCCTGGTTTGGCTGAGCCAACTTTCTGGGTTTATTTTTGAGGCTACTTCTTCAAATGTGTCTGTGAGCCAAGAGGTCCAAACTGTCAAACCTGATCATTTGTGAAATATCATCCAGTTCAAAGACTTCCCAGTTAAAGTTCATTGTCATTACTGTTATAGGAGGAGTCCCAGAGCCTCCTGGAAAGCTGGCTGGAATTGGGCATTTGCTGCAGATCATGTCAGCATGAATCAATAAGGGGCTTGTGTGTGGCCTGGAAGCAAAAGCTCTTATGAGCCACATCTTGCTTGTGACAGTGAGTAGCTGCCAAAAAATCCTATGTAAGGGAACAGGGAAAATGAAAAACCCAGCCCTGGGAGCTACCTAGTATAACCTTCATTTCACTTCTTGAGGATCTTCTAGAAAGGAACATGCAGACCATTCATACACAATACTCAGCAAGTTGATAGTGGTGGTGTTGTAGTTTGGGCTTGGTATTGAGAAAGAGAAATTTTACCTCTGTAGACTTTGTCTTTAGCTCCAGAGGCCAGGTGGCATGACCCAGGAGTCTCACTGCTCTCAGAGCCAGGGTAACGACCAAGGGGAAAAAAAAAATTAAAAGGCTGCATTCTGCATGGCTAGACATTAAAACAGGAGTTTGGGGAGGCTGGAGTGTAATTCAATACTAGAGGTCTAGCTTGGTGTGTATGAGTCATTGAGTTCAATACCCGGCAGCTAATAATAAAATCACACACACACACACACACACACACACACACACACACACAGAGAGAGAGAGAGAGAGAAAGAGAGAGAGAGAGAGAGAGAGAGAGGAAGAGTAGTCCTCTAATCTTTTTGTGAGCATTTTCTTTAGAAATGCTCTCAACCCTGTCCCTAATTGGTAAAACTTGGGTCAAAGTGGCAGGACCCACCAGCACCATTCACAGCAGCCCCCCTCCCTAAGAAAACCCCTTGACATCTATTCTCTGTGTCCATTTAAATGCTTTTAGAATCATCTAAACTATTTTCTTCTAAATTTTTAGATGAAATCTACATAAAATTAACCTAGTTAAGGTATCAAAGCTGTGCCATTTGGTTCATTCTCAATGTTGTGCTGCCACCGTCTTTATCAAGTCCTTGAACATTGCCACCTACCCAAGAGGATGCTTATACTCCAGCAGGCATTTTTTGCCACTGCTCCTTCTCCCCATTCCTTGTAACACCCAAGCTGTCTGCACAACCACCTTTGGATTTGCACATTTTATTTCAGGTCTCATGGCCAAAACTGGCTTATCTAGTAGAGTACAACAGTCTGAGGTTCCTGTTTTCTCCCTGTTTCAGGGAACCCACTCCTTGACTCCATAATGCTCTGACCTGAAAGAATGGTGACCAGGCCTGGGAGCTTCAGGAGGCACAGAACACTCCTGCCCTCTCCTCCTGGGAACCTGGCCACCATGTGCAGGCAGAAAGAGACTGTCCAGGACAAACACCCAGAAGCTAATGTTAGTATTGTGGACATAATAGGATTTGTATTCACCCTTGTTTGTGCAGGATTCCAGGCAACTTGGCAGCTGATGTGGGGACCTGATTGTGAATAGCCACAGATGAAATTTCAATGAGGGCCAGAATGCAAGCAGGATGAAAGGCTTCCTCCCTGCTCAAATGTTATTTTCCTGCCCAGTCAATTCTGGGTAGCATGGTTGCTGAACGAACAAAGGTATGTGTTGGGAAGAGGGGAGGAGAGTGTTCCAGGTCAAGGGTACATTCTGTTCACAACTTCCAACAGAATGAGAGCTTCCTTTTGGAGCTCAGTAGAGCAGCTGGCTGTGTTTGGAAAGTGAGTGGAAGTGCTGGGGCAGGGGAAGACCAAGCTGCAGTCCTGTCTCTGAGATTCCTGGCCCCTGATGGAGCCCTCCACCAGTGATGGGGTTGTACTCAGTGCCCTGGACTCCCATCAGTCCAGTGTGACAGTGTTTCCATCCTGGGCTCTTACTTCCCCCTCTACCCCTCAGGCTTCTTAGCCCTAACATGTCCTGATACCAAGAACATGTGGGTGAGAAAAACCATTTTCTTAAAAGAGTTTTCAAAACACTGGGAACCTCCCTCAGAATCTTAGCCTCTGGGCACTGCCCCTTAGACCCTGGTCTCACTGGGGAAGGGAACTGGTAGCAGCAGAGTCTGGAGAACCTGCAGAACTTCCTCCTCTTGACCTCACAGTGGTGTCCTGAAGACTCATGCACAACTCAGGAGGCCACAGACACCTGATGTATGTCACAAGGTTGTGGGAATGGGGAGGGTCAGGGGAACAGGTGTGATTTCTTTTTTCTATGATAGCACAGGGAGGCAGACCTGAGGGAGAGGGATGAGCTGACAGAGGGTTATATGTTTGATCTTCAAGATCAGGGGCAGGAGAAAAGGATGGGGCAGTGGGAAGTTGAGGCTGTGGTCCTGAACAACTAGTCACTCAAGTTTGGACCCAGTCCATGAGCGTGGTTAAGGGTTTCTGTGTAGGGGAAATGGGTGTATGACATGGCTGGATGCCAGAATTGGACAAGCTGTGGCCCAGGGGGACAGGGGAAATGCCAGAGAAGGGGAATATCTCCCATGCTGCCCAAATATCAAAAGGTAACTAAGGTTTTCGGGATTTACCAGATCTGGAACTGTGCCTCTGAGTTGGACGGATCAAGTAAGAGGCTCCAGGTGGCCATGAACATGCCAGAGTTCCCATCCTAAACAGATGGGAAAGGGCAACAGTCCTGAAAACATCAGCACTGACCCATGTCCCAACTCTTCCTTGTACAGGAGGATCTATTCTGAGGTACCTTTTAAAATCTGGAGTTTGTGAGCATTTGGGGACAGAGTCTGGGACCAGGCTGGGTGCCAATCCATGTTAATTTTGGGACACTCACCTCACTATGACTCCTTCAGGATATATAGGAAAGCTCCATACATGACCTCCCTTCAGTCAAGCTGGCCCATGGGAATGGGCCCTGCCTGCACCACAGGATTGCACCATACCCAGGTCTCCCGATGGAAACATCCCCCTCCACCCACAGCCACCTTTCCACCCCTCTGCAGGGACAGGACACCAGAGTGAGTGCATTTCTGCTCAGTTCTTCTCATAGGGCCACATTGTGCCCCTCTGCTCTGTGATTCTGCAGCTCCTCCACTACTGAAACAGTCTCATCTCTCCTGAGTCTGGGATGTTTCCACAAGTGTCACCTGTGGGGACATGGAGAAGTCTTTGTTCTTTTCTCATTTTGGTTTGGTTGCTCTGCAATGACTTTAAACCCTGCCTGAGCTGGCCTGCTGGGACAAGATGATGTACATTATAACCAATACTGCAGTCAATCCTGGCCATTTGCATAGATATCCTGAGACCCAGAGAGCTGCCCAGCACAGACCAGAAGAAAACTGGCTCACAGACTCAAGCAACGTGTGTGCACATTATCATCTCGGCTTGTTATTTATACATTACTGTGGTGATAGACAAATGAATCACTATACCTAGAAGCACTGAATGGAATAGAAGCCCCCACACCTCACCATCAAACATGTTGGACTCAGATCTGCACTAGCAAGGAGTTTTCATCATTTGTTCTACCAAAATGCCAGGGTTTGCTTGTGCTACAGGATTGTCAATCAGATCCTGACTGATACACAAGACAAGAGCTCATGGGCCTCCTTCCTGAGCAGATGGGAGGAAGTATGTTAAACGAATAGTAGAAAGGTACACTAGTCTAAAGACCTTGTTATAAAAGTACTCTCCTGTCTTCTGGAAGCCCATGCGCAGGTAGAGGGTCAGAGCAGCCTGCTGTACTATGCTAGTATCAAGGACAACCTCACTGTAGCCCTGAGCCCTCGCAAATTGGAGGACAGTCATGACCAGGGCTTTTCCTAGTCCTTCACCTCGGTGCTCCAAGGCCACAGAGAGGTGAAACAGCTGCAGTTGCTTCCTCCCTGGGGGGGCATCCTCCACTGGCAAAGCACCCACTATGCCTGCCACCTGGCCCCCAGACTCAGCCACCCAGAAGCAGGAGCCACGGGCCCTCAGGTAGGATTTGGTGATATCTGCAAGGTCTGTCTGGAAACACACCACCACGTACTTCCTCCAAGGCTGTCTGGCCAACAGCCATAGGAAAACAAGGAGGGTGACATTGGATACAAGAGCCAGGAGCCAAGAGCCAGAGACCAGGAGTAGGGTGATGGGCACCCCAAGTAAAAGCAAGAATGTTTGTGGCAACTTCAGCATGTGGCGAAAGGTGGCAGGGACATGCTCGATCATCCCTTGGGAGAACAACTCCAGGACCCTTTTGTGGTCAATCTCCTGGTATTTGCGGATGTGATGAGGTGCCATGGGGAGACTTCCGTGTCTGCAGTTTCCACAAGTGACAGCTAAACCTTCACGCATGCCTTCCCTGCATCCCTGGAGGAGAGAGAAGAAGCCATGTGAGTGTCCCAGACCTCCCCAGAACTTAGGAGACATCTCAACTGTGTGTCTTTACTGTGGCCCAAAAAGAAGCAGGCCACCACCAGTGGAAGGAGGTGTAGGATCAGAAACACCTGCTGGATGTTGGAACTTTGGTTCCTTCCATTTCTAGCTATGTGTCCTTGGGCATGTCACTTAACCTCTGAGCCTCTGTTGTTTTCCTCTGCTGAACAGGGTAAAATAACAACAGCCTTCCACAGTTGTTTTGAAATTTAAAAGAATGATTTATATAAAACACTGATATATACAGTCCCCACCCCTCTGTGTGAGTCAGCTTTTCATTTTGTGATCAAAATACCTGAGAACAACAACTAGATGAGAAAGATTTATTTTGGCTCACGGTTTTAAGGTTCAGTCCTTTATCAGCTGGCTCCAGGGCAGAAACATCACAGTAGAAGTTTGTGGCAGAGGAAAGCTGATGAATTCAAAGCAGTCGGGAAACTGATAGAGGGCCAGAAAGAGAGACAGTGAGACGGAGAGAGAAGAGGGGCCTGGGAGAATAATACCCCTTCCCACCACGCCCCCAGTGACCTACTTCCTCCATCCGGGATCCACCTCCCAGTAGTCTATTCAGCTATCAAAGGATTAGTCCATTAAAGGAAGATTTTTGAGCGTGTGTGTCGGGGTGTGGGAATAGTAAGGTTTGAATCTGGAATGTTCCCCAACAGCTCATGTGTTGATAGCATAGTCAATGTAGCAAGGTTTTGAGTGGGACTTTTAGGCTCATGAAGGCTCTGGCCTCATCAGTGGATTAAACCATTAACATCTGAATGAACTACTGGGAGGTGGGAACTAGTAATAGGAAGTAGGTCACTGGGGGCGTGCCCTAGAGGGGTTTGTCTTTCCTCCACCCTTTCCTCTCTCTCCTTTGCTTCCTGGCTGCTGGAGTTTAGCAGCTTACCTCTGCCATGACTCATCTCCATCCGGTTTCTACTTTAGAACAAGATGACCATTGATTGGATCCTCTGAAAACATGAGCCAAAATTAATCTTTCCTTCCCTAAGTTGTTCTTGTCAGGTATTTTAACTGCAGCAACAAAAATCTGACTTCACAGCTCCAACCTCATTAGTATATTATGGGCTCTCTAAATTTATTGGCACATGTAGATAACACACTATGACAATCAGTACTCATGTCCCCAGGTCTTTGAGCCCCCACCAAGGTGCATATATTTCAAAAATCTTGTTTCCAAATTAAAAGTCTCACCCAAGCCTCCTTTCCCCAGGGCTAAGAATTAGTCTGCTGGGAAGGCAAAGGGCCAAGCACACAGGACAATGCAGCCTTCAGATTCCTAAAATATTGTGGGACTCCATTCAACACTGAGTCCTACAACTATGTACCCCTCCACTCACTGACTTCCCCAAAGCTGAGAGTGACCAGGACAACCTCATCCCTCAGCCTCCAGCTGGCATTCAGGAGAGAATGTCCAGGGTCTGCCCACCTGTGGGTAGCCAATATGGGTGGCCACCTCATTGGCAGATTCATGAATGTTTCATAATCAGAAATCCCAAGGGCACGTTGGTGGGCTGTGACCATGCAGGGAGCCCAAGTCCATGCACCTTCATGAAGACTGGGAAATGAAACTGTGGGATGGGGGTCAGCAAATCTGGACCAGCCCCTGGCTCCAACCCTAGGAAGCTTGGCACTTCAGGTCACAACATCCCTCACAAAGCCCACCCAGGGCTCTCTGGGGTCCACCCCAGTGCTCTCCCACACCTAGGAGTCTGAGCACTGTGCCGCTAACCTCAGGCTCTCCTCACAGGCAACGATGAGGTTCCCTGGCTCAGCAACAAGGTGCTTTCCAGCTGGGCTTCTCTCTGCCCAGCTTTACCGGTCTGGGTGAGACTCTAAGCAGTCCCCACACTCACCTCCTCTGCAGCCTCTCCTCTCCTTCATTCACACACTGAGCAATGCTCTTGAAACTACTGTGGGGCTGCAGGGGTCCTTTTCAGCCACCAGCAATGCTGACATCCAGCTGACGGGCACCCAACAGTAGACAGCTGCCTTGTGCAAAAGAGGAGGCCTGGGGACTGCAACACCACAGGGCACAATTTCTGTGTCAAAAGTGTGGGACTGACTGAGGCCTGGAGTTCTCTGAGGAGGCCTGGTGTAGGTATAGTGAATGTGAAGCTGTAGGCAGGACATGGATGCCTCACGGTACCATATGGGGATGGGATGGAGTAGGATGTAGGGGTCCAGGAAGCCATGGCCTCAGGGAGGAGGCCACCAAACTGCCTCAAAGCCTTGGGGCAGCTTATGAAATCTAAGTTGTAGTGAAAGAAATACATTTGCTGGGAAGCTACAAAACCTAAGCTTCCATGTCCCTCCCTCCCTTACAGGGCCCCTTCCAAGAATTCATATTTGGATTTGCAACATTGTATTCTGCAGCTAGTCCCCAAATTGGTTATGCTCAGGCTCCCCACTACCAGGTTCGCCCTGAGGGCAGGTCTACATTTTGGAGAAAATATGAATTTAGGAGTCAAACAGACTTGGGTTCAAATCCTAGTTGTATCTCCAATATATGTCTTCTCCTCTCTGTCCCCTGTCCATGACTAGGGAAGCTGGGGTCAAAGTGGCAGTGCCCACTGGTTCTATCCATAATGGTTACCTCTTTGAAAACTTCAACATCATTTCTCTCTCCAGTCTTTAGGTCCTCCTTATGGTTTTAGGGATATTTAAACACTTCTTTTAGCTTCAAATTTTTTAGAGGATAACAATATAACATGAAATTAGCTGACTTAAAGTGTAAAACCTGTGGCAATGGTATATTCACCATGTTATGCCACCACCACCCACATCAAATCCCAAAACATCCTCTTCAGCTGAATGGGGGCCTTGGATTATAGTGGTCAATTGTCGCCATTAATCCTACTCTCTGAGATTCTAGCAACTCCCTATATTGTGTGCCTAAGCACCTTTGGATATGCACAGTTTCTACCAGAATTTATGGCAAATTCCTTGTTGATCTTGTAGAGTTCTGCTGTCTGAGAGACTACTTCATCTCCCTTCTCCTCTTAGCTCACCCCTTGACCCAGCAATGCCCTCCCCACTGCACAAACACAGGTGTTGGGTACATAATTGTCTGTGTCCACCCTTGTTTTCAACAGACATTCAGGGAATGCAGCAGCAGTTTTGGGAACCCCACTATGAGGAACAACAGACTAAATACCAGGGAGAACACAAGGCAAGCAAGTTGAGGGCTTCCTCACTGGTCAGAAGTGAACTTTACAACAGAGTCATCCCTCACCTGAAAGCAGTGGTACCTGGTGAACCAAGGTATGGATGGTGAGAAAAACAGCAAATGTTCCAGGCCAAGGGAATATGGTACCCAAAGGCCTCCAGCAGAATGGGAGCTTCCTTACTGAGTGATCTAGAGCAGTTGACTAGGTTTGGGGAGTGAGGATAGAAGTTAGAGCACATGGCCAAGCTGAAGTCCTTTCTCTGTGTTTCCAGAGGCAGAGGATCTGGTTCCTGCAGGAAGCCCTCAACCAGTGTTGGGGTTGGCATCTTTGGATGGCCTTCCTCAGAGCCCAGGACTCCCTCATCACTTTACCATGACAACATTTCCATCCTGGGCCTTCCTTGGCCTCCTTGTAGCTCTTGCCTTTGACTATGTCCATCTGGCAGTAGTGAAACTCATTCCCTTCTATTGAATGAACCTCTCAAGTCACTGAAGACTTTCTTCATGTGTGTGCCAGCTCTGTGCCCACTGGGAGTTGTCCAAGAGACACTAGTCTTACTGGGCCAGGAGAGTTTCTGTCAGCAGAGAAGGAGAGAACCTGCATGGCAGCCTCCCCTCCAACTCAAAGGGACTGTCCTGATGGACCCAACATTAAGTAAAAAAACTAAATTAAAAGTCAGACACATGATGTGAATAGCAGGGGAAGGTTGGAGGAAGGGAACAACCATGTGGATTGTTGAGGTTTTAGAGAAGCACAAAGGAGATATACCTGAAGGTGTGGTTACGCTGTCACAGAGTATTGCAGCTGGCCATCAATGCCAGCAACACTTTGAATGGCATTGAGGGGTCAGAGTTCAGCTTCAGGGGTTTGTATAACAAGTTACTTATATTTGGCACGATCCCATGGCTTGGTGAAGGGTCTCCACCTAAGTGAAATAAGCCTGTGACACGGGTCTCTTGGCAGGGAACAAGAAGTCACTGTCCCAATTCATCAGACACGATTTATCCTGCCTGATGTCTCAGTGGAGGTGAGTTATAAGTAGTAGACACTGCCAAGAGGGGAAATGACCTCCAAACTTCTCTCAAGTCACCAGAACCTAAGGGGTACCTGAACTCCCTGGAACAACAGGAGCTCTGCCTCTGGGTTCAGAGAAACCAGTGAGAGTTTCAGAGGGACAGCCTTGCTTACCTAATGAGCACTGACCCACCACC